ATCAGTTTCTGGTGAAAGTGGTTATACCTACTGGCATTAAAGCCCACAGGAATTGAAGGACAAGAAACCAGTGTGGGAAGGGAACCAACATGGTTCGTTAGAGTTTTTTACCAGAAGTGGAGAGAAAGCACAAACCCCCACTCGGTTATGAATTTTACTGGACACCCACTCTCTCTCAGTATAAGCTACATCATAAGGTTGTTGCAAAAATAAAATGGAAGATGACCAATGCATGCACCCATCAATTCCTTGGAAGAAGGGTGGGATCAACATGTAATATATGCAGGACAGAAGAGTGAGGTTTGCTGCTGTAATTTTACGATCCAACCATCTGAGCATTTGTTTAAAAGCACTGTCTTTACCAGCACCTACATGGCAGAGAAGCAGCAAGTGAACTTCCCTTGCAAGGGATTTCACAAAGTGCTATGAAGACCCATTCCTCTGTATTCTCCCACAGTACTTGTGACAGTCAGGGTACATGAAGAGTGGGCTCAGAGGAAGATCTTGATGTTAGAGCTGGTTTTGTGTCAGAGAAGGTAATTCTTTAGCTACCCACAGGCACAGGTCAATCATGATCAAACAAGGACTTTAAAAATCTGTAAACAAGCTTGGTTGGCAGCTAATGCAAAACCCCCACAATCGCTGTATCTCTCTCTGTATTTCTATACTGGCTCTCTAAGCTGATGTATGTCAACAGTATACTGTACCCAAACTCTCTAGATGACCTTCCCAAGCATATTTATGTAAGCACAAGAGAGAAACAGGACCTGACTAGACCAACAGCAGGGAATGAAGCAGCAGCTTTCCAGCATCACTGCCTGAAATTTGCCCAGTGAGAAGGTCCAGAACTACTACAAAACTGTACCCCACGAACCCATTCAGGCAAGACATTGTAGAAGGACAACCATGACTGATGGTATCACACACAACTGAAATCTCTATGGGAACCAACATGAGTGCATTCTGCCCCTCCATCGTTCACCTACTGAATTAACTAAAGGGCCTCACAGTGCAATCCTAAACAGCGTTAGGCCCTTCTAAGACAACTGACTTTAATAGAATTGCACTATAAACACCAGATTAGGAGACAGTCCAAAAACGGCACAGATAACTGACACCATCCATGAACCCTTGGAGCATAGTCACTGCTACAGTCTCTAGGACATTGCCTAAATAATCAAGATTGGAAACTGAAGTTGTTTATATCTAAAATGTTCTTCAGACATGGTCTCACCATAGTCTCTTTTTATTATTTATTATTTATTAATCAAATTTATACCCCACCCTCCCCACTGAAGCAGGCTCTTTTAATACTGTCATGACCTTGCAGCCTTAAAGAGGTTTTAAGACTCTGGTGGTGGTGATGGGAAGTGCTGTCAAGTCGCAATCGACTTATGGGAACCCTTCACAGGGCTTTTAAGGCGAGAGACGAACAGAGGTGGTTTGCCATTGCCTTCCTCTGCATAGCAATTCCTGGTGGTTTCCCATCCAATTACTCACCAGAGCCGACCCCGATTAGCTTCTGAGATCTGAAAGGATCAGGCTAGCTTGGGCCGCCCAGACATCTATAAAGAGAGCCTTATAACTCATTGATCCCGTCTTCCTCAGAAATCAAATTAGCCAAATATGGGCATGAGTTCAAGGTTCCTATTGGTGGGATTCCCATCTCTAAGAATCCTGCTTAACCCTACAGGTTGCACAAAACAAAAAATACTCATCAAAACAGTCCAGGCTTGCCACTAAAAAATTATTTTTCATTTCCCTGATTTCCTGACCGATTTTGTTGATTTCCCTGACCACCATTCAAAAATGGCCCCAACTTGAAAAATGCATCGGTTACATTACATTAAATAACGGTTTTATTAAACAGTTTAAAACTACGCAAGTACTGAAAAACAAGCATTTGTTAAGATAAGAGCTTCAATATGAACTTCTTTAAACACTGATTTTAACTGACTGTATCTGTTCTGAAAATGCACTAAAAATTACACAAAGATGGAACTTCAATACACCTAATCTCTAAATATTAACAAATGACACATTTTTGTTCTTGACTTTAAACTACACTAAAAATATGTATAAAATAAATGTCAATGAATATTCTTTAAAAATAGCTTAACTGAAGCCACAATATGAAACTTAGTTGCAGAACTGAAATCAAAAATTAAGTTAGAAATTAGAGTACAAGTATCCTTTTAAAAAAGATGAAATAACAATATACAGCTATCACTTCTACAGTTTTCTCTTTCTATTTTGCACTTCCCTTAGTTTCTGATCAACTGTTTCTTCTTCTATTTTGGCTTCTTTTCTCTGTCTTTTTTTAGCACTTTCAAGCATTTTAATTTCTCCCCAAGTTTCTTTTTTCCTTTTTTCAGAGTTTCTTGTTGCTTATGGCATTTAACCTCAAAGTACTCTGTGTATCATGTATAAGCATGCCTGACGGACTACAGCATACTCCTATCAATTACAATAGATGCAAGTCCTCCAGATCAGAACTCAAGAGACCATCATGCAAGTCCTCCAGATCAGAACTCAAGAGACCATCATAAACCTGGCTTTGACAAACAATAGTTTCTCCATGCAAATTCTCTATTAACATTGACTTCTTAACTGAAAATCTAGTTTCAGCTGAAGCATTACCATTAGGGGTGTGCAAAAAAATCGGTATTTTTTGGTTTGGGTCTATTGGACCCAGAAAAAATTCTGTATTTCTGAAAAATACCAGTATGGTATTCAGATCTGGGTTTTTTCAGAAATCCCAGAAACTACTGATTTTTTTTTTTTAAGCCAGCCCGACCCTAGGGTTGGCTTGGCTTATCCTGCAGTGTAGTTTAAACCTGCAACGTGCTTAAAGTGCAAAGGTGTGTGTTCTCTGTGAAATCCAACAGCAGCAAAATTCATTCCCAAACTTTTTCATTTAACTCAGGTCTGGGTTTAGCAGAGGCAAACGCTCCATCTCATGTCTATCATCCCCTTCACAACACAGATACATGGAGCTGCGCGCTGTCTGTCTATCTGGTGTGGAGGGCTAGGAAACTCTTATTTCACAGGTGCTTAATACTTAACTTTAAACCTTGTATGTTTAACCTTGTTTGTAAGGTAAATGTAGTACTTGCAGGCATGTTCTATTCCTGTGGATAATTTGCAGGTTATGTGCAACTGTCTGGGCTTTTAATGAGGCCCACACTGAGTCAGGTCGACTAAATCTATTTCTTTGGGTCCCAATTAGCATATGACATAATGAAGATATTTAACAGATGCAAGGACCAACTGAAGAAGAAGAAGAAGATACTGGATTTATACCCCGCCCTTCACTTGGAGTCTCAGAGCGGCTTACAAACTCCTTTCCCTTCCCCTCCCCACAACAGATACCCTGTGAGGTGGGTGGGGCTGAGAGAACTCTGACACAAACTGCTCTTTCAGGAACAGCTGTGCCAGAGCTTGTGATTGACCCAAGGTCACATCAGCAGGTGCAAGTGGAGGAGTGGGGAATAAAACACGGTTCTTTCAGATTAGAGTCCACACACTTAACCACAACACCAAACTGGCTCCAGCAAGGCTGGAAGAAGCAACTGCTGCTCACCCTATAAGTATGGACTGATAATTTCCATTTCAAGAAGCGTGCATGCACACTAAAGCCAAGATAGGGCAATTAATAAATTGAATAAATACTAATAATAATAAAAGTGCCACTAGACTCGAATTTTGTTCTGTTGCTTCAGACCAACAAGGCTCCCCCACCTGAATCTATAGCAAAGGGTTATCTTGTGGTTTTAGAAGTGCTTGAGAGTATACTTCTGAATACATATTGGTCTCCTACAGAACTGTTGCTACTTACCCCATAGTCCTCTCCTCCATGTTATTCTCATAGCAACCCTATGAGGCCGGTTAGGCTCTGACTGGCCTAAAGTCACACTGAAGCTTCCATGGCAGAGCAGGGATTTGAACCTAGGGATCTGAACCTCCAGGATCCAAATTTGGCCCACTAACCGCATGACAGCTACACAGTTCTGAGTCTTCATTATTCACATGGTACAGAGGGTATACCGCCTCAGGATTCTGGTAAACTGAGAACATGTTTTATTTAACTCCCATAAAAGTTCCAAAGATTAAAATGAAAAGCATAATTCAGCGCTATCAAAACTCCCTACTGCTTTCTGCTTTGGACCAAATTCTACCTACTATCTCATATATGGATTACTATCATGGTAATTATCCATAATTAATATATGCATGAGCCTAGAGAATATGGCTTTTAGAATTAAGATGAAATTTAATATTCTCAGTCCAAAACATTATTCCCAACCACCATCTTGCCCCAGTTAAAAAGCTACAATCCAATGTCAAAGTCCTCCCAAAAAGCAAATTAAAAAAATGTCAAATGCCTTTACAACATAATCACTTCTAATTGTTTGTGAATGCATACTGCTATTATCTTGCCACTGATTACATATGCAAACCTGTACAGAGAGATGCATATTCTCTGATGCCTGACGTTAACTACAACTAAACAAAGTTTGAGTCCAGTGGCACCTTTAAGACCAACAAAGTTTATTCATGGTATAAGCTTTCATGTGCAAGCACACTTCATCAGATACAACTAACAGCTACTTTAATGTCATGTTGCTACACACACCAGCACACAAGTCAGCCCATCAAAACTCACAGTATCATTTCTTCCTTTTCTTCAGATAGCTTGCCATTTAACACCTCAGCATTACCGTTTCTCTTAAAATGTGTTAAAATGCTCTGGTATTAGCAAAATTGTTATCACGAGGAAAATTAAATATTTGACAGCAATAAAACAGAAAAATCCTACCAACATATTATGTAGATCAAAACAATATATTGTATCAAATTTCCTAACTACAGAGAGGTTTGGGCTTGCCTGGCTCAAGGTTAACCAATTACTTCCCTCTCTTTGAGCCTGGATGTTCCACATCCGACACCCACCATAACCACTACACCACACTGGCTCTCTACTAAAGATCCCCTCTTACTTTATTCCCAATTTTGGAAGAGAAGAACAAAACCCAAAGCACTTTCTTCTTTTTCTGTCTCTGCCTGGCAACACCTTGAACCTATCCATTCCATAACTTAAAACACACTGGTTTTCTTCCTGTCCTCACAGGGATCCCAGAGCCTCTTTACCCTTGTTTCATTCACAGGCGTTGCAACTCCAGAATTTAATTACAACTCAAGACAACCCAGGATAGGGTAATAGGAAAGTCTGGCTAAGAATAGTATTTTTTTTCCCCGCTCATCCTATTAATTGCAACCTCATTTCTTAGAAAAAGGGAGTGCCCATGAGACAGATACTTCCAAAAGGAATATCTAAAAATAAATATTGGTAAACACTGAAATAAACTCTAGGCTTTACGACGCACCAATTTATCCAGTCTGAATGTTTGTTCTTGCAACTCATTCAAATTAAATCACACCCTTCTTCTGAACTTATTGGGCTTTCTGAGCACCTCCCACAAACTACAGAACATACAGGATACACTCTTCTGACTGACTGGATTCTTCACCTAATATCCAGATTATAAATCATAACCACACTGTTGTTCCCCCTGGCTCCATCATGGGCTCCTACCTCTGTGAGGTTGTGATCCATGCTGTGGCAAAGCATGTGACTGGGCCCAGGGGACTGAAGTATATTGCCAGTAAGATTGGTAAACTTATGCCCAGTCTCATTCCTTCTTTGAAAGACAAATCAGATGTGACTTTTCCTGCTCCATATATATATGCATACATATATATATAATACTGCACTAATACCTTAAGTGGCTTCACAAAGACACGTTTGTGGTTGCCCTAGATTCCACTCCTTAAATACTATTCAGGAGACTGAAAGCAAAGCCTACCTTTTTTTTTCTTTTTGGCCTATACTTTAATTTCCTAGTTACATGAAGATTAACTGCAATTATCATTCAATCTTGTAAACATATCACCCACTCTGTGAAAAAAGTGCCTTCTTTTTCCTTTTTCCCCCCATCCCCCTGGGGGAAGGTTTTTATTGATTTTTTTTCAGAGTACAAAACTACAACAGAAAATATAGGGAAGGGAACTACATCTAGGGGAAAAAAGAAAAAAGACCCACAACTAACTAAAATCCCAAGGGTAGATCAATACATCAGTTTATCACCATGCTGTTTTCAAAAAGCTACTAATAATACAATGAACCTAGTCGGTTATGCTAGATTAATTATCATTTAACCATCCCTTTAACTGTTTAAAGAAGTTCCCAGAGCATCCCCAAATTATTTCAACATTTTTTCAGGCACAAATCAAAGTCCTTCAGCCCTTATTTATTCTTATCTTTTCTAATCCTCAGTTTATATGAGCTTTTGGGGCAGCCGCCCCCTTTTCAGAGGGGGAGTTCTCGTCTGAAGACCCCGAGCCCAACTCACCATCAGATTTGTTTTCTTCTTCCTCCCCTTTGCCTTCTTCTGGTTCCCCAAGCTGTGTCCACAGAAATTCACGTGCTTTAAAAACAGAGTCAATCTTTTCTTTTTTATTGTTGATCTTGAAAATGACGATTTCTGGGATTAACCACCTGTAACTGATGCCATTTGTTTGTAAGAAAAGGGTTAATTCTTTATAGTTCTTTCTCTTCTGCCTTATATCAAATGGAATGTCTTTTAAAATCCTAATATTGTTGCCCCCAATTTTCAAGGGTGTTCCCGTAGTTGCTTTCAAAATACATCTCTCACATGTCTCTTCGAGAATCTGACCACTATTTCCCCAGGCAGATTATTTTTCTTGATGTACGATGAATAGGACCTGTAGATCACATCCATCTCGCTGCAAAGGTATTCCGCTGTTAAATCTGTCATTGGGGCTATTGCTTCGCTCAACCGTCGCTTCAGATTATCTCCTTTAATTTCCAAGACCCCTTGAAACCGTAGGACCAAATTTGCTTTATCCATTTGTAGCTGTAAGAACTTTGACTCTTCCATAGCTTGCTGCATTTCCAGTTTTTGCACCTTTTTCTTAACTTTTTTAGTAGTGACATCCATTTCCTTCACCTTATCTCCCATTTGCTCTGTTGCTTTTAAGGATTGAGTGAGTTGCATCTGCTGCGCTGCCACACTCTGACCAATTATTGACAGTTGTTGTTTAATGCCAGTGATCTCATCCAGCAGGGGGTGCAGGGAGTCAGCCAAGAGTTTTGAGAGCTTAGTGACCTCATCCGTTTGAGGACTGCCCCCTAGTTTTGGTTTCAACAGCTTCTCTTTCTCCGGTTTCTACCCCGCAATCTTTTTAGATTTGTTTACTTTTCAAAAAAGTTGCTAAAGTCTCTGATATTCGCCTGAACGCTTTTCTGCACTCTGGTAAGTCTCTTAAAACAGTTTTAGTTGCTTATTTTCCCACTCCCCCCTTTCTGTCCGTGTTCCATCTATGCGTTTGGGAGGGACCCCTCCCCCGCTCGCTTTCCCGTTGCTCTTTAGGGAGGGCAGCTTCTTTTTATATCTTCATGCTCGCTTCAACCCGACTCACAGTTCGTTGTTGGCCATTCGTCCTCGCTCGTCATCCTTTATTTCGCCCGATCTCCAACGCTTGTCCCGATCAGCAGCACTCATACCATGCGGTCACTCAGTGGCAGGACCTTCGGGGCGGGGGGGGGCCTCAATTCTCTGGCATTCGGCCATCGAAGAGATCGCCCCTCAAAAGCCCCCTGCCTGGCTGCGGCGCGGGGGGGGGGGGGGGGTTGCGACCCGTCAGACCCCCTCCCACACGCTGGTGTGCAGTTTACATCCCTCGGACATCTGGGAGATTTGTCTGCCAGCGTGTCGCCATAAACTGGAAGCCCCGCCTTCTTTTTCCTCTCCACCCTCTATCCACACTGGCAGAATTCCATCTTTACTAAACCAGAACTACCACCCTTCATCCAATCCCTCTAACACTGATAAGAACCTGGACTCCAGAAACAACTTGATTTCTGTCCGAGGTGCAAGTTAACATAGGGTTGCCAGCTCTGGGTTATGAAAATCCTGGAGATTTGGGGGGGGGGGCTGGAGAGGGTTGGAGGAGAGACATCAGTGGGACACATACAAGGCCATAGAGCAATGCTCCCTCTAATCTGTGGAGTCTTGTGAGCAAAAATTCTGCTTTGTGAGCTACTGGCATTAAAACTGTGAGCGAGCAATTTGGCTGCTACATAAATTAGTGTGATCTGGAGCCATCCTTCCCGAGCGAAGTAAAAAATGTGTGGGCTGGAGACTAAAAAACTGTGATCTAGCTCACACTAACTCAGCTTAGAGGGAACACTGCCATAGAGTCCACCCTCCAAAGCATCAATTTTCTCCAGAATCTGAAGACAGTATCGGTCTGAAGCAACAGAACAAAGGTTTGAGTCCAGTGACACCTTTAAGACCAACAAAGTTTAACTCTGGGTACATTCTATGCCAATAAAAGGTATTTGACTTAACTCTGGGTACAAGCTTTTTCCCAACAGCCGAGGGGGCACAAAAGCTTATACCCCAAATTAAACTTTCTTGGTCTTAAAGGTACCACTGGACTCAAACTTTTTTTCTGGAGACCACCTGTAATTCCACCCACCATCTGGAGACTGGCAATCCTAATTTAAGAGCCCCAGACAGCCAGCTTTTAAACAGCACCCTGAGTTCAGACTCTCCACCCCTGCCAGGAAGCGCTTCACCGGTTACATTCCTGCCTGTGATGCAACTCTCAAAAGGTGCCACATCCTCCTTTTTTTTTTTTAAGTAGCAAGCAACTTTATGGAGGGGGGGACTAAAAGGTGCAGGGGTGTGGCTTTCAAGTCCAGTCTTTCAAGTCCCTTCTTTCCCCCCCCCCCCGGACTGCACACTTGAGCCTGCTGCTTGGCTGCAACCAGCCAGTCGGCCGACCCGCCCCCTCCTCAGGGCCGGTTTCTCCTCCTCCTGGCTGTCACTGCAGGCCCCGCCTCGGCCTCCCTCTTGACAGGCGCTCCGGAGCGCCTTTTCCCTTCTCTCCCTCACAGCTGCCCGCCGGCCTCCGGCTCCTCCCAGCCTTGGCAACAGCTGAGGAGGCCGCAAGGAGTGGAGGCGGGGGGGGGAGCGCGGCCGAGCCGGGGACGAAGTCCCGGGAAGCTCCTCTGGGGGCCCCCCGACGTCGCAAAGCCGGCTGACGAGAAGTGGGGGGGGGGGGGGGGGCCGGGGGCTGAGGGGG